ATATATATATATATATATATATATATATATATATATAGTATTATGGAAAGGTCCCTTACAACATTATCATCATATTTGGGGTCCCTGAGCATCAAATTATTTGAAAACATTTGATGTACAGTAAACAAAGGCTTTTTTTGTTTTGTTTTTTCAAAATATCGGAAATATAAAAAAAATAATAATATCAGTCCACAAATCTGACTTGTGATGTAGCCCTAGCCTGGAATCATAAATCACACCGTGTTTGTTTATTTAGGCCAGAGGAGAACTGGAAACAAAATGAGCCTGGTTTCTCTCAAGGCTTTTCTAGAAGTTTTCCTCTCAACTCTGTTCAATACAATGTACAATGTGGCCATCTAGTGTTCATAACAATATATAGCACGTACCAAACTGCCATTGGTTTCACTTTCACTTTCGAGACACTTTTCAGAATTCAGTAATATTCAATTTGACGGAAAGCTACTTTTAAACAATCTGCATTGTATAAAGCGCTAGCTATAGCTAAAGATGACTCGACTTGTTTTTAATTACTTCTACAGTCATTATGTTTAGTCAATCAAAAATGTATGTGAAATTATTTCCAGTATTGTACAAAAGCACTGTATTCTATTTTCTAATGTACCTCATAAAAAGTTTGGCTACGCTGGATATTTATTTTCCTTTTGCCAGGATATAAATGCTCATCCTCTGAAAATATATGTAAAATTGTAAAGTGTACATGAGTTAGCCAATATTAAAACAAAAAGAGTTACCTCATGAGATTTCCAGATGAGATTCTTTTGTAGACTGCCATGCTGACAACAACAAATTACTTTTTGTAACAGCAGCTGTACATTCCCAGACAAATCTTCAAACTCTCAAATAGTCCATCTGCTAGCAATCCTCTTCAGTTCTGTAAAAGTAAATGCATGCACATCATGAAATCACTTTATTCATTGCTCACTCTTACCAAACAATTAAACTATTTACAAACACAAAGTGACATTCATTTCCAAAAGCTGACAATTCCAAGCGAGACTACGCTCTCATTGCCCCAGACATGGATGTAGATGAAAACTCTGCACTTCCCCTGCCCTTTTTCATTGAAAAAGTGTTCAATAAAGGAAGAAATAAATCAAAACAATGTAACACCATGGTTTCACAACTATTCAGCCCTAAAAAAGGTTGCGTAATCCCTATAGTTGCTGAAAATAGCATTTTCGAACAGAATTTCTTCTATTAGGTTTTGCCTTTAGATATTCAGACATGATGACTTTTCTGACTATTTTATTTTCACCGATATGTTATAAAAACTCTTCAAATTAGAGTAGATTATTAAAGAAAATGTTATAAGCAGTTTGAAAAGGATGTACAAATGTTTCTCAAACCTAAACGACACAACTAAATTATACTAAATGTTTACTGCATGTTATTGTTCTACTGATATAAGGTCTTCTTACCATGACATGCTTGTCAGTTCAGTTTGCTATATGTAGTTTGAGTGACTTCATTTTTTTTACCAGAACCATTGACTGCAGAATAGAATAGAATAGAATGGAATAGAACGGAATTACACTGGACATTCTGTCCCCCTCACTTCTGAAATGATGGCTATGCCCCTGGCCTCAGAAGACTTTGAATGTAACGCAATAGAAGTTATACTATTTGTCCTTTTTGGAGCTTGACATCTCCGCTTACAGCACAAAGATCTGTTATGTTATAAGAAATATCGGGCCACATTACAGGTTTGGAATGAGACAGTGGGTGTATATGTATACGAGTTTTCATTTTAGGTGAGTTTTTCAAATGGTTGCAGTTCATGGACGCTGGTCCTGTCTTGTCCAAAACAACAAATTAAAGTTGTAAATGGTTTAAGGACACTATTTATTTGAAAAAAATGCATTCATCTATTTGCAAAATGATACGTTTATTTTAATACATGACAATGTCTTAACCACGACATAAAACACTTGAGTAAAAGCCACAAACTTTGCTAGTAAAGTCTTTACTATTACTTTACTAGTAAAATAAAGTAAGTTCTAATAAAGTCTGAGGATGATAGTGAAATGACATTCAAAACAGCGCTGGATTCAAAATCGCCATGTCCATCAGCTTAAATCTTACCTCGTGTTCGGAATTCCTTTTTTTTTTCTTCTTTGTGTGAACAGCACGCCTTCTTACGGAAAGAAAGCTCTACTAGCAGAACGATTTCCCACGCGCGTTTTGTCGAGAACGTTTCGTCTCGTAAAGAAAAACGTGCTTTGAGCAAACGATGCTCATGTGACTGTGTGCACGTCCTCCAAAGTATAATTTTCTCGTCCCTGCCCATCCTTTAAATAAACCCTGATTTCCCGAGATCCCTCAAGCTCATTGCTCAACTATGGAACGATATTCCGGACAATTTTCAAATAGAATAGCAAATGTATTTTCAATTGCGTTTTCAATATGTGGACGCATAAATTGTGACATAATCCAAATGCAATTGCAAGTCCTGCATTAGCGTTTGCATTTTCGCTTTCGCGAACGCACAGTGACGGCCAAATTTCAAATGAACACTGCTGTGGCGTTTCGAACGTAGAGTTTCATTCTATTTATGAGGTAATCTACAGATGGCGCTGTAACCAATTCTACAGTAGCCTATTGTAGTTTCATTTGCTCACATGCAGTTATGTTTCAGTCTATTCTACTGTAAAGACATAAAAGATGCATTCGTGTTTTCATGCATTGTCCCTCTCAACTTCTGTTGTTTGTCTTTCCGAGGGACCAAGTGTAGGTATTAGCTACAAAAAATAAAATACAAAAAAGGGAACAAAACAAAACCAGAGAGGTTAAGATAAATCGCAGGTCTTGCAATTAAAGTGTAAGGCGTCATTAAAGTAATTCATGTGACTCCAGTGGTTTAACCTAAACTTTATTTAAAGTCATATTATATATATATAAACAAATAAAGCACTTGCATCACTTCCTAAAATTGAGGTTAAACCACTGGAGTCACATGGATTCATTTAATGATGTTTTTATACATTTCTGAACTTTGAAAGTGTTAGTTGCGTAGGCTGTCAGTGGAAAGACAGAAAGCTCTCGGATTTCATTAAAAATATCTTAATTTCTGTTCCGAAGATTAACAAAGGTCTTGCTGGTTTGGAACGACATGAGGGTGAGTACTTAATGACATAATTTTTTATTATGTGCAAAACTAACCCTTTAAGATCATTTGAGTTAAATGATGATGAATGTAGTAAAATGAACTCAAATGAAATGTTTCATGAAATATTATTCTTCAAGACATTTTAGCATTTTATTCACAAATGTCATCTATTGTGTTTAAAAAGCATGGGAGTTCTGCCATTTCAACAATGTTTTTTGCATTCTCACAGCTTGCTCTTGCTGCCTTTATTATAGCATCTTCCACAGAATCAGCTTCTTCTGCCACTTTGTATCCAGTGATTCCTCCTCCAACACCTCCTGCGAGAGCCGCAGCTCCGAGAACACCGGCAGCAATTCCTGAACTCACTGCTGCTCCGATGCTGGCACCTGCAGCCGCTTCCACCCCAATGGCTTTCACCGCTGATGCAAACTTTGCTGCTTTGAGTAAAGCCACAACAGCTGCCACTGCAATGCCGATGCCCAGGAAAGCACCGATCAGTGTCCCTGTGGTCACTCCGGCAAGCCTAATGAGAAGTTTTTTATAAACATTTTCTTTAGCTTTTCCTTTTTTCTCTTCTGCATGCAAATTGTCCTCTATATTTTCAATCTCTTCTTGAATTTCTTCCTCCACCATCTGAAGCAGCTCATTGTTAAAGCAGCCTTTCTCACTTCCCTTCAGATTCTTCTCGAAGGTCCTCAACAGCTTTTTCACCCGAACTCTGTTGCTTCTGTAACCCCACCAGCGTTTTCTCCAGTGTTTGTTGTCAATAACATGACAGCGACCTCCACATTTTTCAACAAGCTGCTGTAGTTTTGGACTCTCCTTCACAAATTCCTCAATGGTTTGACCTTCTAGATCTTCACCGTGAGTGAATAAAACTGAAATGTGTTTAAGGATATCACCACACTGCTCAAAATATGAATTCATAATATCCACAATCTCCATTTCTTGTTTCGTGTACCTTGAAACCTTTAGAATCATTACTATCATGTCAGGACTTGGACCCATTTCAGTGATGGATTTAATGATTTCAGCTCTGATGACGTCCTCTGTAACAACCGTGTCAAAAATTCCAGGTGTATCAATAACAGTGATTTTTCTTCCAAAAGCCATTCTATTTCCACTCACACAGTCTGCAGTCATCGATGTAGGTGAAGCTTTACTCTTGAATATTTGCTTTCTAAGGATTGTATTCCCAGCGCTGCTCTTGCCAACGCCTGTCTTCCCAAAAAGGACAATCCTTCTCTCAGGTCTAGATTCTTTACCTATTGGAAGAAAACACAAGTGTTTTTTCCCCCTCATAAAAAGGGTTAAATATTTAAGTACAATCAACTTAAAATAAATGTATATAATTAATAAATTTCAACTTAAATTACATTAAACTGACTTTAAAAATTAGTTGTATCCTGTATAACTGATAAAACATTTTAAAAGTGAAAGTAATGGAAAAACATGTTGCCATAACTTATTTTACAATGCCTTCAACGCTGTCACGGTCACTCGGGGAGGAGGGAACGAGGAGACACAGGAGAATACTTCAACATGGAATTTAATGGAATCAGCAACGGGGAAAACCCAGAAACTCACAGAAGACATTTAACAGAAGACAGAAAATACTGGGAAACACAGGGTTTAAATGCTCAGAAACTAATGGGACACACCTGGGAGCAATACGAATTAAACGGGGAACACCTGGACTCAAATAATAACCAATAATGACAGGACACAGGAAGAACCAAATAAGGGCAAACAGGAACATACATGTGACAGATCACCCCCCCTCCCGGATGGCGCGTCCTGCACCGTAATAGTTCCATCGGGGAGGAGGGGAGGGCGCCCTGGAGGCTGGTGCAGGACTGGAAGAGGGTGGAGACAAGGAGAGACTCCAGGTGGATCAGGAAGCCATAGCGGAGCAGGGGACTCAGGGAGCCATTGCGGAGCAGGGAGCTAAGGGAGACATGGCGGATCAGGGGACTCAGGAGACCATGGCAGATCAGGGGACTCAGGAGGCCATGGCGTATCAGGAGACTCAGGAGGCCATGGCGTATCAGGAGACTCAGGAGGCCATGGCGGATCCTCCTTGGGGAAAACTAGGAATTCTGGGGGTCGCTCTGGAGGCCGTGGGCTATACTCGGGAACAGGAGCCCTCCGTGGGTTATACTCGGGAACTGAAGCCCTCCGTGGGCTATACTCGGGAACTGGAGCCCTCCCTGGGCTTAACTGGGGATCCGGAGACCTTCCTGGGCTGAACTGGGAATCAGGAGCCCGTCCTGGGCTAAACGAGGAATCAGGAGCCCTCCCAGGGCTAAACTGGGGATCTGGAGCCCTTCCTGGGCTAAATGGGAGATCTGGGAAGCGCTTACGAGGTGCTGGCACTGGAGGGAGCGAATTTAGGGGCTGGAGCTGACACTGGAGCGAGCCACAGGAACTTCGGAACTAGACTGAGGAATGGCCGGCGAAGGGGTACCGGATCGGAGGCTCACCAGACACCGGATGACTGCCTCCTTCCAGTCGAGGTTGGTGGTGTCTATGAGCTCACAGGGCGATGGTAAGTAATCCCGATCCGGAACAGCGTCACGAGGGTTTCCTCCTCGAGGGAGCTGGCGAGGGTAATCTCGGGGGGAAAACAAACACACTTTGAAAAAACGGAAAAATAAACACGGGGCGAAGAGGCGCCGCTCACTTTCAGTTTGGGTCTGCTGTTCTGTCATGGTCACTCGGGGAGGAGGGAACGAGGAGATGCAGGAGAATACTTCAACATGGAATTTAATGGAATCAGTAACGGGGAAAACACAGGAACTCACAGAAGACATTTAACAGCAGACAGGAAATATTAGGAAGCACAGGGTTTAAATGCTCAGAAACTAATGGGACACACCTGGGAACAATACGAACTAAACAGGGAACACCTGGACTCAAATAATAACCAATAAGGACAGGACACATGAAGAACCAAATAAGGGCAAACAGGAACATACACGCGACAACGCATTATATATACTGCATTACTATTTATTGTATCCCAAACTACCTGTTGAAACATTTGTGTTAAGCAAATAGGAATTCAATTTACTTTTCACTTTTTATGTAATTTACAGTGTAAAACAGGCACAAATGTATTTTAGAGTTAGTTTATGCCAATATTTCTTACCTCCCATTATTCTTGTCCTTTAATGAAGCTCTGTAATCTGTGACACAAGGTGTGTTGCATTAATGAAATGGTCCTTTCTTTTTAAACCAGCATTGCTCTGAATACGAAACAAAAACTGCACCAAAAAGTCTCGAGACGCATGAAAGATTTTCTTTCTCGTTATTTTAAAAACATTTTGATTTCAAAGACTATTGCTAAAATTCTTAAAATTAGTTTTGTAGACAAAAAAAAATTTCTGTAAAGAAACAAAAACTAAATGCATACACGTTCCACGTTTTAGTACACGCTTTAGTAATATTTATAACATGCACCTGATGTTGAAGTTGATTGAATGAACCACGATGAATCCAGAGTGAACTGAAATCTAGACAAAGAAGAAGCTTAAATATGGTGTCACCTGTTTTACTCACCACATTACCATACTTCCTTAAGTGTTTATATGACTTTAACAAGGAGATTTGTTCAAACCTTTGGCTGTTATAACTGATATATTATTATTTGCAAATAAAGCCAGAATCAAAACATATTGAATAATAAATTACCATATTACTTGCAGATGTCTTCTAGTGAAGAGAAGCTGGATTGTAATTGTTTTAGTTTGGCAACAAGCAATATCAGTGTAAGCACATGCAGAAAATAAGTAATTTTTCCTGTTTTTTCCATTTCAGGGACTGTAGTTACAGAATCATCCGTAAGTTTTTAATCTGCGCAGATAATATCTGGAGAGAACTGCTTTCAATCTCCAATCAATAATGAATTTGAAAATCTCAATAATTAAGATTTAGTTGCTTCTGGAAGAGTATAATGCTGAAGTTTAATTTCTTATGAAGGTTACTTTCATCACATTTCTTGTATAAGAATTTCACTACAAAAAAACTTATTACTAAGGTATTACTTTACAATGCAGTGAATTTATACAAAATTATACATACAAACACTTATTTGTTATAATAATTCTAGAACTTCCACATTAAAAAACACTTTTTGTCATATAAGTTCTGAACTTCCTCACTAATGTTCTGCTTTCAGTTGTGGGTATAGTTCTCAAAAATATCAGTTTTCATGTATTTTTGGTTTGTATTACACTGTTCCCCTTGTTCTCACTTCTCTCGTGTTTGATAGGCCTGTCTGATATTTTGGACACAGCCATATTACGGTGAACAAAGATGCATTATGTTCTGCCATTTTAACCTGAATCATTTTCTCAACCAATTCATTCAGAAGAATTTATTCATTTACCAAATAAGTCTATTTATGAGTGAGTTCTTCAATCATACACTACAGAGATTCATTCAGATTCTTTCAGAGAAGAAACTCTAATTTGTAATTTTTGGAGACCACATCTTATAGCATAGTTCACACCACAACTATAACGATAATGATACAGAGGAACGATATCATTGTGATCACTTTTTTTCCAGCTGATGAACGATAAAAACTGACAGCCAATTAGAATCCATTCGAACTTAAAGTGGCAGAATACATTGCAGCGAAGCTAATCATCGAGGTCCAGAAAAACCTACCACTATCTGACAAGTCAAACCCTCCTTTTCAAGGATACTTTAAACAAATGGGTATATGGAAAACAATTGGCCATACCCTCAGAATGAATGGTGAGAACCATTAACAGAGATCAGATAATTATACCAGGCTAGCAAACAGTGTAACAAAATTATCTCAGGTATCAAGCACTAGTTTCGACAACATTGTCTTGCCTCCTTTGAAGTTGCAGTGAAAACGGCTATGTGTTGTTTTTATTCCACTACAGTGACTGTGTTAGCTAAACTCACTGTAAACTTCGGTCAAATTGATTCGTGATTCATGTATAAAGTTGATATACTTATTTATTTATAAGGGATAGTGCTAAGAAGAAGTGGATCACCTAAGCAGAAAAAAGCAGCCACTAAAAGTGGAGACCCAGCAAAGTTTCTTAAGCAATACAAATATGCAGGAACCCTGGAATTTATGATCCCACACCTTCAGTACAGGGAGTGAGCTCATTCTCAAATCATAACTTTACTTTTACATATTTTTTTTTGCTTTTTATTTAAGGAGTTTTATAAATTATTTTGCATGAAGACAATGCATGAAGTCAGTGGATCCTCTTTGACCAGTGAATTTGAGCACACATTCTTATAAGCTTCCACTTACTGTTACTTAACAAACGTAAGATTTGTTTAGGTCCTTTCCAGGGAAGGGGCACATTATATTCTGTGACAGTGGGAAGGTCTCATCAGCCACAATCACATGAGGGATTGGTTTTGAGAATCCAGGCAGTGGTCTTGGTTGAGGGATTGCCAAGTTGTCACTTTTTATTGCTTTCTCTAAAGCACTTTGAGCAAAGATGCCCTCATCACTGTTGGAGCCATGGCCACCAACATCTGCAAGTACTGATGATTGGATGAAAATTGCAGATGGATTCCAAGAAAGGTGGCAGTTCCCAAACGGCACTGGAGCTCTAGATGATAAGCATGTGGTCATCCATGTACCATCAAACTCTGGATCCACCTTTTATAATTACAAAGTTGGTTTCTCTATTGTTTTGATGGTACTGGTTGACCACAGGTATTGATTTACCATAATGGGCATGTACTGAGGCTGCAGTTTTTTTTTTTTTTTTTCAAATTGTGTCATATCTATTATTGTGGCTACAGTGGTATTTTTCTTGTCGATGTTGACTGAGAGGTGGTTCTCCATTTTGTCAGAGTGTGCAACTCTTCTCTCTAAGCCATCTCGTCGTTGTCAGTGATCAGGCCTTCCACCGTTGTGTTATCAGTGAATTTGACGATAACATGATTGGATCTTTGTGTAGCTGCACAATCATGGGTGTACAGGGAGTACAGGAGTGGGCTGGGAACACAGTTCTGAGGAGCACCAGTGTTGAAGGTCAGTGAGGATGATGTATTGTTACCCATTCTGACAACCTGACATGGACCAGGATCCATTGATTCAGCTGCACAGTGATCTGTTTAGGCCCAGAGCCTGGAGGTACTATGATACTATGGAATTGAATGCTAAACTGTAATCTACAAACAGCATTCTCACCAGGGACGTTTCCTCCGAGGAGGCAAGGGAGGCAGTGTCTCCTCCAAAAATTGGATGAGAAAATAATTGATATTACACAAATAAAACAACACAAATATGACTAAATATGACATTAAAAGTATAAAAGTCACTTGTTTTTATAAAGTAACACTGTCCAGCGACACCCGCAGGTAAAGTTACAGCGGAGGCTTGCCTCCCTTCATGCCATTGACTTTTAATATAGACCACATAGCATGCTGTGGGTTTAGTGGGGGTAGTTAAGAATGAATGGCGGAAAGTCATGTGAGAGAAGGCAATGCCTCCATTACGATATGATTGGATATGACTAGTTATGTTTGGCTGTGATTGGTTCATGTGATAAATCTTGTGTTTTGTGTGAGTTCACAAATCAGTATGAATGAACAATATAAGGGCGTTAATGGGAAGACTAATTTTAAAAAGTAAGTAAACAACTCACACGTAGATATAACCACATTGTTACATCAAAATAAGACTTGAAATGGCCTGAAAACATGATCTGTGGCAGTTTCAGACAGCAACATAGTGTTGGCCCAGATCCGGACCACATCTGGCCCGCGCGAAATCCATGTGGGCCAGACGTGGGCCAGATCTGGGCTGACACTGGTTGCTGTCAGCTTGGTTACATTTGTAATAAATCTCAGTGTCTGTGACCAATAGCCTATTTACCGAGCTTTGATGATTGATGATCCAGAAAAATTAATAAATAGTTCAAAGTTAATTATTAAAAAAAATAGCTGTTCACAAACAAAATATATTGGTTACTGCCTTGAGTTATTATTTTGGAATAAACATACAATTCTTAAAAACACTAGCTTGATGTGATTCATACATGGCTTTAAATAGAATATTCATTACATTGTTAATGTAAAATAATATATATTTTAGGTTCAGTAATTTTACTCTAATGGCAATGTATAGGTCCTTTTCTATACAATTAAAGTGAAATAACTGAACATAAACGTAGGAGCCTGCTAAAAATCCTCCTTTTAGGCTTTTGCATCTGAACTCTTCATATTTTTTTTCTTTTTCTGATAGTGTGAGTAATGTTTATTTAACCAAGAACATGTGACTGGGACAGTACATTACATTTGATTAAAAAAAAAAACTTTGAAGACTTTGCCTCATTTTCATTTTCACTGATTCTCACATACTGTAGTCTCTGATGAGATTCTCAAAACATTTGCTGAAGATGGGTGTCGTTCAAACACATGATTTTAGTTTTCTTTGGTATGGGCACAATGATGGATTTTTTAAAGCATGAGGGAACCACAGACAGAGAGAGGGAAAGGTTGAAGATGTGTGTGAAAACGACTGGCAAGTTGCCCACGCAAGCTCAGAGTACATGGCCTGCGATGCCATCTGGACTGCAGCCTTGTACATGTGACTGGGACAGTACATTACATTTGATTAAAAAAAAAAACTTTGAAGACTTTGCCTCATTTTCATTTTCACTGATTCTCACATTCTGTAGTCTCTGATGAGATTCTCAAAACATTTGCTGAAGATGGGTGTCGTTCAAACACATGATTTTAGTTTTCTTTGGTATGGGCACAATGATGGATTTTTTAAAGCATGAGGGAACCACAGACAGAGAGAGGGAAAGGTTGAAGATGTGTGTGAAAACGACTGGCAAGTTGCCCACGCAAGCTCAGAGTACATGGCCTGCGATGCCATCTGGACTGCAGCCTTGTGGATATTCACCCGTCGGAAGGATAGGCACAGACGGAGAACATATTAACCGCTTCTGCATCAGCTCTCTCTGTCTGGGTGGTGTTGTGAGCCTCAAAACAAACATGAAAATGATTCAGCTCATCCGGGAGAGGGGCAACAATGAGGGAGGGATTTGAAGGCATCCCGGAAAGGAAAGTAGCAGTCCAAAACACTCAGTGTTAATGGTGATGTGAAAGTCCCCTGTTACAATAAACACTGCATCAGGATAAT